CCCCGTTGGGATGGGACTTTTTGGACGATATAGTATTTGTGAGTATTAAAGCTTACCAACATTGTAAAAATCGAGTCTCAGCTTTCTAAATCTAGGCCCATTACTTCTGGTGTAGTTGAGGGTAGCGTGATCGGTCCTCTTCTTTTCACCCTTTTTGTTAATGATCTTTGCAAATGCTTATCGGTTGGTAAACCGTTTTTGCTCTTCCTTATTAAATACTCAAAAATATGGCACCATCATCCTGTTGACATGAGAGCTTCGAGTTCAACTATCCAGTCTGATCGTGTGTTAAGAAGATTCCTATCATATGGCAAACTCCTCAATATACAGAGTGCATCACAACTGTCTCACAATGCTCAATATAATAAGTCCCTTAAATGTATGAGGTGACATACCGTGATCGGTATATCCCCACTGGTCTACTAGCTCAGCTCACTCTGCACTGCCGTATTTTCTCTATTACCCTGGTAGGATGACACTCAGCAGGCAACACCATGATCATCCCTCCCCCATGACTACATAAAGTGTGGTTACCATTGTAGCAAAAACCACTAGTACTATCCAAACGTTTGTAACTTCATTAAACGTTTGCACACAGGTTTCCTACACATACGCGAATACCTGGTCCAGAATTTTCCATTCTCACCATTCCACTAGGATATCTTCGGCTTCAGTTTAGTTTCCACTGCTTTTGTGTGCACCCTCGTCTTCTTCCCCACAGGCTTGACTCCAAACAGTCGGTTTCGGATACTTCTTGAAGCGACCTTTACAGTAATTACCAAGAACTCACTTTTATGGTCGATATACTTCTGCGTAGTATTTTTGTGCTCCTGTTTCGAATTTCGTCTGCTGTTCGCCTTTGTTTTTCATTTTTCAGGTTTACCCAACCAGCCCTTCATCCATATGCAATCCTAGTAGTCTAATTTGTCAGCGCGCACTATGCTATCTAAACCTTATGACGAACGCATTAAAAGCTCAAGGTCACAGCTGTACTACCCGCCCTAACTCCAAGAATATTGGAAGATTCAAACAATAGCCCAATATCTCCTACTTTCCAACTGAGCCTGCCTCAGTATGATGAACAGTTATGCTGGTGTTTATCTGTTTCATTCTTTGCTGCCTGCAAAGCATTAATGTTCTTACTCTAGACGCATCTTTTATGTACCGGAAAGAACGGTGTCTGTTGTATAGCTTGATAATGTACATAACAGTCAGTCCACATTACCAAAATGATCAAACCTGTAAACTGGTTTGTTTTCATGTGACTTATGTTCTATGAAATATGTTATTATAATTATTATTGTTAAAACAATGCTTACCGTTTAGGACCTAGTCAAATTAACTGCAGTAAATTCGCTCGTGGAATGGGGTTTGAGCTATGCCAAGAACGCTTAACAAGTATGAATCTGCATCCCTTAAAATTCGGAAGACTTAGAGGTGACCTAATGATTATCCACATCATCCTAGGCATTCCAGGTCACCCGCCTCAACGTTTGATTTAACCAGTCCCTGGTTTGAGTCCCATGGGGAACGACCGGAAGTTAGAACCTGATTATTTTGAAAATATATCAGGCGTAGCTTTAACTCACTAAGAATTGTTAAGGTATGTGACGTTTCCCCCCGAAAAAGAATTTGAGCTATGCCATTTGAGTCCTCCAAACACACACTGGATTTTCACTCTAGGTCAAAGCGTGAACTTTCAGACGAAGCTGCAAGTGGCCTGTTTTCGTACATTTTGTATATTTTTCTCTTTGTTTCTGTACACAGGTTCTCCGATAGAGGAAATGGTGGTTAATTGATTCTGTACGTGGACGTCAGCAGGGTGAAAACTTCTTTTATTCACTAAACAACAATGTGAAGCCAGTAGATCGTTACCTAGGTTAGACAAATACTAAGAATACCAGCACTGTTATTGTTGCCAAATCTCATGAGCACACGGAATCACTATATTCCTCTTGTTTTCCGAATAATCACTGGTAAAAAGGAGGAAAGGTGACCGAGGACTCCAGGTTTTCATGCATATCCCATCATGGACCGATTTCTGAAGGGGAAGTTCGGAACTAGTTTCACTGTACAATGTCTCTGAGGGAAGAGTTCGTGGGTATGGTTGAAGGTAGAAAGTCTATTTAACAATAATTACTGGTAACGGAAGAAATGACAGTTTACTCTTTATGAAAAAGAGCTAGCTGCTCACGGCCCAGCGATCACGGCGTGATAGCGCTCCGCCTGGTATTCAAAAGACAACTGTCACAGGGGAAATCTCACCCTTGTCTTTTCTACAGCAAGGCGAAATACTTGGTGATGAACCAGTATCTATCAAAAGTCCCATGACCTCAGGAGTGGAGTAACCTTTCGATTGATAGACGTTGAGAGCTAGTTAGAGATATCATCAAGAGGGCTAGCTCTGGAAACGACCCAGTAACCACAGCAATACAGAAGAAGCGAACCTCATGGCTGAAGCGAGACACTGGACGCCTTCCGAAAGCCAAGAGTAAAACCGGGCACAAGTGAGGACCCCCATTAAAGAGTCCTGCCGCGCCGCGTATATGGCCTTAAGAAATCAAAATGAAGGCAAACAGCGGTTCGTTCCAGGCAAGCCCTACCCAGCAGCTCGAGGAGAACCTCAAAAACCTATATCCATTTATTGCAGGCAGAAAGTCCACCCGCCAAGGGACTTGCATCCTCAAAGGCCTGAACCGAGAGAACCTCTCCGAATCAGGGGTCGTTGAGGCCCTTTTCGCCGCCTTCGACAAGCAACTGAGCACGTCCCCACCTAACCGAAATTGTCAGCTGCCTGAGCGGCATTCAGCGTCAATAAATGCCGTAGAGTTGCATGGAAGAAAGTAACTCCCGCCATGGTCCCCGAAGAGCTATCAGAACTCCGCTCAGGGAAATCACCAGAACGGGATGACATCCAGCCGGCTGCGTTGGAGCAATGGGCGGATGCCTTGTGCAGCCTGCTGCGTAACCGGTTTCAACACTCCTTAGACAATCACACGCTTACAAGATAGTGGAAACGTGCTATTCTGTCCTCCATCTTCAAAGGAGGAGACAGGCGGAACCTGAAATGCTATCCAACCACGGCGATTTTACTAGTCTAGTAGACGACCACTTCAGGGGGTACTTACAAAAGGGGGGAGTGGAGCTCAGCATGGTTTCAGAAAGGGCAGATCCTGCTCCTCAAAAATTCTGGCGGCCGGTGATAGGTGGGCAGCACGTTGGGACGTTCAACTTCCTGTTCATATCATTTTCCCGGATCTTGCTATGGCCTTTGACACAGTCCCACACACCTTTCTTATCCACAAGATATCGAGGTTGGGCATCAAGGGTTAGGTGCTCCCCTTGCAACAAGACTATTTAGACTGCGGACAATTCTGCACAAAAGCCAACAGGGTTTGCTCAACTTCGAGGACATCAAAATCAGGCTTATCATAAGGGGCGATTGTGGGCCCACTGTTATTTCTTCTTTTTGTGAACTACCTCCCATCGAATCTCGCCTCCCCAATTCCACTTTACGCTAATGGTGTTAAGTTGTAGAGAGCTGCGACGTCCGAGGGAGAATCAAGTGCACTGCGAAATGATCTCAGATTACTTGCAGAGTGGGTGGATATTAATGGACTAGCATTTAGTCTGGATAGGTGCCGAGCCATGTTTCTCCGCACCGCCGACTTTCAGAGGATACCCTCTTCTCTCTGTGGAACGCAACTCTCCCATACCACTATGGAGAAGGGCGCGCGACTAATACTGACTGACAAGCTAGGCACCAGTTCCAATTATCCAACAGGCGCCCCCAGAGCCTACTCAACACCGCACTTCATGGGCGGACAACTAGGTGCCCTGGCCCCCAAACTGTTTTTCAGGCTGTACAAGACCTAAATGTGATCTCACTCGGAGGTCCACAACGTCATTGCACCACCACATCTGAAACGAGATGTGAACCTCCCAGAGAAAGTCCAAAGGAGAGCTACAAAGAGTATCGTGGAAATGAGGCGAAAACCCTATGAGAACAGGCTAAAAGACCTAGGACTCTGCTCTCTGAGCTATCGAATATTACGTGCGGACTTGATAACGGCTTGTACAATACTAAGTAACCCGAGTCATACGAGCAGTGGAATCCCACCGAGCGGCCACTGTGGCGATCCTAGCGGTAACCCAAGGAGGATCGCCCATCAGAGGGCAAGGACCCGTGTGCGTTCACACTCATTCTCTGTGTCAGTTTGCGGCCACTGGAATTCATTGCTTGATGAGACTGCTACTACTCCGCATGTTGACAGCCTCAAGAACAGGTTGGACAGTTACTCAGCGACGCACGGCTTGTGCTCATCCAGCTGGGATATGGACTAGGCTAATACGACCTACCAACTCAGTACGGCCAACGAATTATCGAATAAGTTGTGACACCAAATTCACTGTGAACTTGACTGAACCCTATAGATGTCCCCTCCGGTTACCGTTTCCCATTAATAGAATTATCTCTAGTCCCATAAGCCGTCCTGTAGTGTTCTTTTCTCCTTTTTTTATCCTGCTGACTTTACGTTCTCACACTTTAATAAAATCTTTGCCCATCGCCTCCCTCCTATGAACCTATCACTGTTTCTTCTTCCACACCGTTTCATTTCACCTAACCACTTTTTCCTATTATTTATTTTTCTTCGCACTTTCTCTCCTTTGACATATTTTCCATCTCCTTTTTACAACCATTCCAACAAATTTTCTGCTGGCGCGACACTTGAGGAACCCATCTGCACCACAGCCCTTGGAAAAAAATAACACATACTCCCTACAAATTTAACCAACACCCAACTGCCTGACGGGTTAACCAGAGCTACAGCAGTCGAGTGGGTAGATCTGCTGCATTGGAATCCCCCCAAAGACCTGCAACCGTTCGGAGAGGCCTAGAGGCGAGCTCAGAGAAGTCAACTGGTTTATACTAGTTGTTGGATATTGGATTGGACATTGATATAAAGTATTGGAATGTTTGACCGTACAAACGCTATGACCACATTTGAATGTAATAAAATTCTGAGAGTTACCATGTGCTGCCAGGGTAAATGTGAAAGCCCTACAGCATCTGAAGTTATTCCTAACTTCTACTCTTGAATATATGGGTAAGCTTTTGTTCGAAAACACACCGTCCAATTTTTTTTTACGTCTCGTCAAACATTAATGTTTGATTAGATTCACTGCATGTTTAACTTTAGAATTCCATCTCACTGGCTTAATACGTCTTTTTTGTCCGTTTAACGTAGGTACTGACAATGTCTGTGAATTCGGCTCTAAAACTGAAATTGGATGAGCTGTTCCTCAGATGGATAACGGATAGAGCGACACAAAAAGTACTGCGAGATAATCTCATTCAGTTAAAATCAGGACATCCTATCGAAGCAATGTTGGCACTGCCTGCCGGCATTGTAGTCGGACCTATGTCTGCGTCGTCCTATGGATATTTTTATGGGCCAGTTCATTGTGAATCTTCAGGTCCGAACCCGGATGGCTTACCCAGTACTGGTCTTCCGGCTCCTAATCACCATAGTTGTATTGCATCACCTCGGCCGAACACTCCTCCCTATTTTCCACAGCCTCCTTACTCAAAAATATGTAGTCCTCGGTCCCCGCGACGTCATACCTACACATCCGGTAGTATGTCCTCTCAGGCGGTTAAAGTAAGTTGATTTTATGCATGGCATGACCGAATTTGTGTACTGTTTTATCTGTATGCTCCCATAATCTCACTGCATGGTAGCTATTGTACGGTGCTGTCTGAAATATTACCCTGTTTGTTTATTTCGCATCATGGATTGACTAAGACGAAAATTCTTCAATTTTATTCCCCAGTTATAAATACCGTAATTCACTATCACAGATGTCAGCAGAAAAACGGTATGGAAACCAGAAGAAACCGGGGCATTGAAGAAAATGGTAAAACGTTTATGCCGATTCAGTGTTACCTGCACCACTTGTCTCTACTGTTCACAGCTTCTAAATATCGGTTCCCTACATTTCTAGTACCAATGTTCGTAGAATCAGTCATAATGTCTTTGGAGTAATTTGGTGGAAGAAAAAAATGTGCTCCGAGTCTTATTTGGTAAAAATCTGCAACCTGTTATTCGGGTCGAAGAGTAGAAAATGCACGGTTTTCACGTTTGCACTACTAATGCAGTTGGGGAATTGAAGTAACGGTTCATTTCGGGATCACTGCTTTCACGGATTGATAAGCGTTTTTTTCAGTTTTTTGCAGTTCGATTCAGTGGTTGCACTATGTAGCTCCTCGAATTATACGGATCCTTGTATGTTGGATCTCCACACAGTAAATGATGCAACAGTTCAATACATGAGCGCTTATTTCAGTTTTATCTATTGCGTTTTGAGATGCGGTCAAAATTTATAGCCTCTCAAGTATTGTGTGTTAGCCAAGATCACTTAAAAATGTACGTGTCTTCGATTTCTAGTCACTAGGATCGTGGATACTTATAACTATCGAAATAATTTCTCTATTCTAATCACACAGTAATATGGTTCTGTTTTCTTTAATATAGGTCTCTAATGGGTACTAATCTAACTAAGCTATCGGCCCGGAGTATGGGAATCAAACTTAGATCCCGGTAAATAGCTTTCCCGTTCCAGCGTCCCAATTAGGAAGGAGTTAGCTAAACTGAGTCTGCTGAGACTTTGGCTATCTGATTGGAATTCAAGATTAAAATTCATCTGCTAGACATGCTGGGTCACGTTTTTAGGGTTCAAATATTGTCAGTACCTGAAAACAACATTATAAGCTATCCGGACTAAATATTACAAGTATGAGCTAGGAGCATGTCTTCATTTACAGTGTATACTGCAAACAACAAATAATTACCTATTAGTTTTTACGCGAAAAGCATATATTAACGGTTAGATTTCATTTTGGTTTTGGAGGAACTCGCAACTTTAAAACATGACGGTCAGCGCAGTATCGTTTACATTGCAAAACCTTTCAAAAGTCCGTCGATTTCAGTAGCATCACTTCACAGCATCCGAAGGGAAACCACCAAAGGTAGGATATAAAGATAATCAAAAAGCATGTGAGGTAAGAGATGTGTCAACGTTTTAAGAACGTAATGACTAAATATCCGTGCCATTGTGCCATAGTTCACTTTGTGCTCAGCAGGGATTATGCTTTGGTGCCAGACATCAACTAGTGAGGAAACCTTACAGTTTAGTTAAGTAACTCATCAGTAAGAGACTTGTTTCGTATGTTGGACCTGGCGTTCGTCGTAAACTGTTCCACCTCACTTAAGTCAACAGTTTAATGTCCATAGACTAGACGGTATGCCAATTAAGATATTCAGAAGCGCTTGGATATTTCAAAGGTGAGCTCAGCTATCTTACTTCATTGATAATCTTAACTGCAGTCTCTTCAAGGTTAGCAAATCCCTTGAAAGATTCAAGTATTGGGGTCTCACAGTGTACCTTGTTCCAGATTACTTAATCCTAGTTGTTAACAGGAATAGTGACATTCTAGTCTTGGAACTACCGACCACTTATTTGCAGAGAACTGATGTCACTATGGTACAAGGTCATTGTTGTACTTATTTTTCAAACGGGCTTACGCAAAGTGTATTAAACTAGTTAGAGTGTAAATATGTTACTGGTCCACTCCAAACCCCTTGATGGTGCAAGATATTTGAAAAAGTAGCTTCTAGAAAGGAAGCTGAACTACTTTCACTTTGTTAGTGTGCTGATAACATCTTGCTCCACCAAATACTGGGAAACATTCATATTGCAGGTCATCAGGTGCTGACCATTTTTAATTAGATCCATTTTGGATTATGTTTTTGGGGAGAGAAGTGTCTTAGAGGAGTGAAAGCACAGCCATCTATCCGTTTTCACAAACCAGGGGTAGAGTTGGTCAAGGCTGACTAGCAACCGTTCCTGGTGGTTGGTTTCTGAATTGGCATTGTGGCAGTAACAATATTTGTTAGGTAAACATCTTTGAATGCATCACATCTTTCGAGGTTGAGTGGTGTAGTAACTTGAAGCGTTGCCCTATAAGACCCAGAATCGATACTTGTGGCTTATGTGCTGTAGTTATTTTGTGTCTTCGGATTTTCAACAGCAATGTAAAATCAATAAAGGCCTGTTATGTGTGTCCTTTGGTGGTTCTTATTTTTCCGACAACTTTTATTTTCTATGCCGCATTCATCTTGATGAATTTCTTCCTGCCTGTTTTATTGAGTCTGCGACAAAATAATGAGCAATTCATAAACGACCATCATCAACCGCATCCATACTTATCACAATGCACAAATTTTTCACAAGGGAATGAATCCTAAAGGCTTAGTTTCTTTCTGTTTGCTTATGGGACGTTCTGCAGTATAAAAGCTGTGCAATTCAACTGGTCACCTAGTTGTAGCTTGTCGGTTTAGTTATTAATCTTCTGGGTGGAGTTCCAGGTTGAAGCACACTCAGTTTGGGTAACCAAGTAGTACCACAAGCCCAGTACACAAACTTTTACTAGCTTGTTGAGCTGGTAAGTGATCACAGAACCCCGTCTTAAATTTAAGTAGATTAACGCTTATTGATAACCTTCTCAACTATACGTCCACCGAAAAAGTGCAATGTGAACTAGACACTTAAAGCCAGAGAACTTAGGACGAGTTGGCAGAACTAGTAAATTTAATCATCAGTACTAACGATTTGTTCAAAATACACCGTTAGATAAAACAGTGCGGAATTACGTTGTTTCTCAGCGGCACTGTTGATCAGTGTTTCATTTGCTATTTTAATATGCTACTCACTTTTGTAATTACTGTCATACTGTTATTCAGACTTGAAATGGCTTAGGCAAGTTAAGATATGGTATTAGTGCCTGTGGTCGCTTGTTATTTCGATTCATGTGTCGCGACTGCGAACTCGGCGACGGGTCTTAATGATAAAAAATGTGTCAGAAAAATCCTGATGTTGCAGGTAAAAATCTGTAAAAGTGTAGTAGATGCATGTTATCCGTATGCCTCTGATTTCATGATTTGTTTCCCGTCTTGTTGTTACTGCTCATTACTGTTCGTGCGTCTTCTCACTGTGAAATTTCTACTTAACTTCTGTCTACTAGACGTACTTATTTCTGTTTGGTTTTTTGTGAACTAACGACTATTAGCATGTAAATGGAAGGTGATCTGAAAATATTTGAATTTGCTTCTTAGTTCGATCAGCTGTGTGAGTAATCCTCATCTTAGTTGGATTGACTACGCGCGGTATAACTTCCCTGTTAGTTGTATATGTCTTTGTTTTTTTTTAAAGCTGACTCCATTTTTCGCATTGCTGTGAAATGTACGATCATTATTTTCTTACACTACAGTCCTTTGAATACTTGTATGTGTCAAGATTGTGGACATTGTAGGATTACTGTTTTGCTTAACTCATCCACTGTATGGCTAAACTAATCAAACATGTTCAGTGTTGAGACTTTTTTGATGGTAACCGTCATACATCTACTCATAAGTAGACAGTGGTGATTCGTTCATTTCTGACAACTCATGAAAGCTTACAACTATGACTGACAGTCTACTTTGTCATGTTGACGACAGTAGTGAAGACAAAATATGCAGCGTAATGTACAGAATTTGTAACTATATATTTTTGAAAACTAATTCAACAGTGGTTGAATTAAGGCCAATACGGTCCGTAGAAACAAAATGACTTATCTTCTCATATCCTTTAAGTGCAATTTAATATTGTATCCTTTTTGCCTTCGCCGTACTTCTGAGTTTAACGAGCTAAATCAGTGGATTGTTATAACAGGATATTATTTTAGTTTACTTTGCAAAGTAGTTAGTCATGATGGTTGTTCTCCGACTGAAACCTATTGAGAAAATAAACTAACAAAACTGGACGAGGATTACTACTTCTTTTGGTAAACACAAAACTATGTAGCCTTTCACTTCTTGCTTCCTGAGAGGTTTTACTCTCATGATATTGACCGGCATAAGGTAGATGTTCTTTATATTACGCTGTCGACAGTTTTGTGGTTAGTTGTCTTTTAGAAAGGTGTAAACTAACAAATCAATTAGTCTTCAATTTTAAAATTATTGGGTAATGTAATTCTTTGTTTTTCCCTCATTATGTGTATGAACTGGCATCAAGTTGGCATTCGAGTCATTTGTTCGACTTCAGGCATAAATTAGTAGCTTACCCTATTGTTCCAACCTTCGTAAGCTTCTGAAATGTAGCTATAGGCCACTTGGGATGTGCGAAAGCTTGTTGTATTGGACTGCGCAAACCAAAGTAGATGGAGTAAAAACAACTCGGTGGTTAATGGTTCTATGCTCACATCACTAAACTCTGACTAATATGCTACCAGGCTTTTTGTTTAAAATGGAATTGAGGTAAATTGCCCTTGCCTTTCATGCGTGTAGTCTATCGACTGTCTTTGTTGAGGATATTCAGTCTCTAATTTTGGCTGGATTATCGAAGTGCAAAAGTTGGTTTTATTACTATTATATATCATTTGCATGATGAGAGTGATGTATGTTTGCATAGAGAGTTAGAAAGTACAGCTAGAAAGTACTTTTCGTAGTGCATTATGCATAATGTTGTTGTAAATGTCCTGCACGCAGTGTTGTTATGTACGATTGTTTTAATACCTGATTTTCTTGTTTCACCAATTTTTTAACAGAAAAAGAAAACTAAG